TATCACAGAGCTTTCTGTGATTGCAATTCCAGGGAATTCAATGCCCTCTTCTGTCCCCTGAGGGCACCACACATGCATGTGGTGCACATACACACATGCAGGCAAAGCTTTCTTACATATAAAATAAATATAGAATCTTTTTCATAAAATTTTGTATTTAACAATTCTTATAAATTTGTTACACATTATTCAAATGATATATTTCAAAATCCAAATTAATCATTCCAGAAGAAAAGTAGCTTTCACACTTTGAGCAACTTTGTACAGTCAAATATGATAATAAAAATATGGTAAATGCTGTAAATAGTAGCGTTCAATGAATATGAGGATATTACAACTAATACAATTTCAAAAGTACTTTAAAGAGAGAGGGAGGGAGAGAAATGAAGTTGGGTGTGTAATGATGTAGAGGAGGATCTGAGAGGATTTGGGAGGCATTTTGGAGGGACATGAAAATGATCAAAATACACTATATGAAATTCTCAAGGAATGAATAGAAACATTATTTAAAAACAGCTTACTAAAGTAATTGCAGCTTTATTGTCTCTGCATGCTGTATCATTCTATTACTTGTGATTAAATGTGGGATGTATTAAAAATTTAAAAAGGAAAAGTGATCATTTTATTTTTAATGATATTTTACTTAATTGACATTTTAGTGCTTTTTCATGCATTTTCTTATATGCAATATATCTTGACCATTGTCATCCCCTTATTCCTCTCCCCCACTCCTCTGGAATCTCAACATCCACTTTCATGCCTCCTTTTTTCTGACCCAGAGATTCCAATAAAAGTTGCCCAAATGCGCATAGGTGTGGGTCATCTACCAGCAAGTGGGCAACCTACCAGTGGCCACACACTTGAAGAAGACCCCCCCACCACCCTTACCAGCCATCAACTGCCAACAGCGCCTTACCTAGGAAAGGAATTCAGGAGCCTTTGTCTAGTCCATGCTGGGTTGCTGACTGACGTGATCTTGGGCATGTCTTGTCTGGGTCACCACTGCTGTTGTACATGAGTAGTGAGGGCAGCAGCCAAGTCATGTCCAGAAGACAGCATTTTGTAACACTCTGTAATAGTTTCAGACTCTTATGTTCTTTCATAACTCTTCTACAGTTATATTCTGTGGTTGTTGGCTATAAAAATATTGATTGTAGGACTGAGCACTCAATTGTCACAATTCTCAGCACCTTGACCATTTAGGAACCTAAACTGACTGCTGCCCACTGTGGGAAAAAAAGGTTTTTCTGACCAGGTTGAAAGCAGCACCATATATAGATTTAAATATAAATATTTAGAAAACACATGGAGAACATGTATATTTTACAAAACAACAATAGTAAGTCATTTCTTACCACGACATGACCTTCCCACTCACGGGATTTTGACCAAGTAGATTTGCAGTAGAGGGCATGAGTTCTTTGCTGTGGACAGACCTAAAATCTAATCAGACAACACTTGGTTACCCCATAACAGGCATACCATTATTTCACGAATGGCTATATCTTATGTGGCAGATCAGTGTTCTATCAGGCATAGTCTACCACTGAATAAGCCCATTGATGATTTTTTTTTCCTCCAGTGGCTTGCAAAACACATTTTAACACTGTGAGAGCTAGCCAGCATAGAGGAAGTTTCCTAGTCAGTTCCAGCTTGATTTGTGAGTTTCGGAACCAAACTGTGGTATGTTACACAAGAGGGTCATATCATCAAGTTACAGTGGGCAACCAAGAACAATTAACAATGATGATGATGATGGTGATGGTGATGATGATGAAAATAACAATCTAAGTTGTTTAGGGTGTGTCTGGGGCCTTCCTAACCAATAACTTGTAGGGAGATATCCCACACTATGCACTGACATTTAATAACATATTTCTTCTGGAGGAAGCATTATTCACCCATGCAGAGGACCTCTGTTCGCACTCCTTCTGCTTTTATTATTGCTGTTAAATCATATTTTTCCTTAGCTGACAAAATACTGGATGTCCAGAAAGCTTTTTCACTAACCCACATCTGACCTACTCTTTTCCCCCAGCCCTTGGCTCCCATCTTTGCTAAGACCTTACACTCTCAGTACTCATCCCCTGCTTTACCATCCCTCCCCACCACCTCTTCACTGTCTGCATCTTGCAGATGAGTTGTAGCTTGCAGAGCTCTCCAAACACCTCAAACTTAACACCAATCTACAAAATTTAAATCAGATTCACTTAGGAGTGAGAGCATGTGGAGCGTCTTTCTGGATTACTCCATTTAATACAGTATTTCCCAGTGCCATCCATTTTCTTGCCAAGTTCAATTTTTCTTTATAGCTGAATACAATTCCAGTGTGTATGCAGATCACATTTTACTCATCTTTTCATCAGTTACTGGATATCTAGGCTGATTCTATTTCCTATATTGTATGAATAGATCATCAATGAATCTGGATGAGTAAGTATCTAATATGATACAGAATCCTTTGGGGTTAAGTCCAAGGGTGGTATAGATGAGTCATGTAGTATTCCTATTTGTGGTTGTTTTAGAATCATTCATACTAATTTTCTCAGTGAGTGCACCAACTTCCCCTTACACCAATAGTACATAAGGGCTACCCTTTTCCCACATCCTCACCAGCATTTGCTGCCAATTGCTTTTTGGATGACAGTAATTCTAACTTGGTGAGACAGGATCTTAAAGTCGTTTAAATATTCTTGATGATGCAAATCATCTTTTGAAAGTGTTTATTAGCCATTTGTATTTCTTATTTAGAGAACTCCTTTTATCAGTTTCTATGTAGACCAGGCAGTCCTCAAACTCAAAGTGATCTTACTACATCTTTCTTTTGAATGCCTTGGTTTTCTTAACTAGCCCTTTATGGTGTTCATTGAAGGGGTCTGTGTAGTCATTTTTCAATTGCTGTGGCAAAGCACTAAAAGCAACACAACTTATAAAAGAAAGCATTTACTTGGGGTTGTGGTTTTGAAGGGTTAGCTTTCATCATGGCAGAGCAAAGCCATGGCAGCAGGAACAACTCAGAGATCCCAACTTGGTCCACAAATAAGCAGTAGAGAGAACACTGGACATGACAGGAGTCTCCTGAATTCTCAAAGCTTCCTCTAGTGACACCCCTCCCCTTACAAGGCCACATTTGCTAATCCTCCCCAAATAGTTACAGCAGCTGGGGACCAAGTATTCAAGCATATGAACCTATGGGAACCATTTTTGTAAACTGTGGCTGCTCTTTGGTTTCCCATCTGCCCCGACCCAAATCATCCCACATCATCCTAGATGATAGAGTATTTTCTTTAATTTGCAAAATGTAAATGGACTAAATATTGCAACTATAATTCTTGATTAATAACTGTTCTGCATATGTAATTTTACTATGTTAAAGTTAAAACCTTCCTTTTTAATTAGACAGAAAAGGGGAAATGATGTGGGATATTCTTCTGTATATATGTTGCTTTTATTGGCTAATGAATAAAGCTGTTTTGGCCCATGACTTAGCAGAGTAAAGCCAGGTGGGAAATCAGAGCAGAGATAGAGGTAGAAAGAGAGAGTAGGTGGAGTCAGAGATGTGCCATATAGCCAACGAAGGAGAAAGACACCAGAACCTTACCAGTAGGCCATAGCCTCATGGTGATACACAGATTAATAGAAATGCATTAATCTAAGATGTAAGAACTAGCTAAGAATACACCTAAAACTAACATCACTGGCCAAGTAATATAGTAGTTAATATAGTGTGTTAATATTCTGTGTGATTATTTGGGCCAGGCATCCAGGAAACAAATGAACAGTCTCCTTTTACATACTCTCATTTAAACCACTACAAAGTCTTTCATATCCTTGGTTGCCATTTTATTTTAAAATACCATTACCTATATGATAAGCAAAAATCTGCTTTCCATTTATTATAAATATCATAGAAAGTTGTAGGTGCAATTTAGAATGTAAGGAAGCTTATACTGAGTTTAAATATTGTATGCATCTTACATTTAGTATACCATATGTTTTGTATACATCATATCATACATGCATATATGATATATATTTATGCACTTATATAAAATATTATATATGTATTTATGTATGACTATTGGGAGTCCAAGGAATAAATAAAACTTTTGTCTAGTGGTTTGGTTGGTTTTCACAGGACCCTTATCATCTGTGGAATACTTTATGTATTCTTATGGTGCCTTCTGTCTGTACTGTAACATTCTGATGTCACTCTCAGGAACAAAATAATTATTATGTCTTTTTTTCCCTGAATACACCAGTGGTTGCTTTTCATCATAAAATAAGTTATAAAAACCATTACCTTTTTTTTCAATCACTGAAACATGAACAAACATTTTCCCCCCTCAGTTTGTAGTCCTGTTTGCACAGTGTGGTCATCCCTTCACATGAAAGGAATATCCCATGATGTGCAGCACAACTATAAGGCCCACTGAATTTTAAATATTTACTACACAAATGTAGATGTATAAAAGATCATCAATCTATTGGTTTTATTGAATTTATCAATTAGCAAAATATAATAGTATTTCCTTTTGCCTCCTTAATGTGGCAAATTGGTATCTTCTATTGACTTTGTGTCTTTTGCATTATATTTCTGCTGAACAGTACAGCTGTCCCCAAAAGCAGGAGACCTGGGAAGAGTTAGGAGTCTTCTCTCCATGTAGAACAGAGTTGTCTTTTTAGCTATGTTTTCATCATCAACACTGTTATGTCCCTGTGGCTTAATCAATCCATCTCTTCTCTTAAAGACATTCCTTGAAGGATTCTACAGTACCAAGACACAGGTAGCTGTCAACAAAAGATACAGCACAAAATGATAAAAAAAGTAATGATAAAGAGAAGTAATTCTATCTATTGGCTAGTGTTTATTAGGTATGTTTATCAGAGATGTCTGGAGAAAGAGGCCCCTAAAAAAGACGGGACAGTATCAAGGAGACAACATTCTGGGGTCTTTATTGGGAAATGACTCGCCTACCCTTTCTTTTTGCTTTTTCCAGAACGCTGTGATGACTGGGGACTAGATACAATGAGACAAATCCAAGTGTTTGAAGACGAGCCAGCCCGCATCAAATGCCCCCTCTTTGAACACTTCTTGAAGTACAACTATAGCACTGCCCATTCCTCTGGACTTACCCTGATCTGGTACTGGACCAGGCAAGATCGGGACCTGGAGGAGCCCATTAACTTCCGCCTCCCAGAGAATCGCATCAGTAAGGAGAAAGATGTGCTCTGGTTCCGGCCCACCCTACTCAATGACACAGGCAATTACACCTGCATGTTGAGGTAGGCTGCTTCTAGGCGGTGACTTTCCCTTGTCCTTAAAGTCCCTAGAGTTTTATTTAAATCACGAGTATGCTGTGACAACTGGGCAGGGGAAGGACACATTATATGGGTTATGCTTTTCCTCAGTGATATGGGAGGTGAGCAAAGAGGTTCTGTCTCTGAGACTATTCTTCACGGGTGGCTTCTTATACACAGCAATGTTGTCAGAATCTGGGGTTGAGTTTATTGGCTTTTTTCCATGGCCCTGGATCCTGCCTACATGGTTACCTTGCCTGGAGGCATCGTTTCCCTGGAAAATGAACAATGAAGAGCCAATTCATATCTGTTATGCTTGGCTTTTTCTTGAAGTACCTGGCAAAGACACCACACTCTGGGTATGTTTGTAGAAGGAAGACCGTTTGGGATGTATCGAATATATTTAGCACAGTGCTTTTCAAATTTCAACCAAAATTATCTTCAGAAGCAAGTGAATACCATGCCATTGGGAATCCAAAAATACGACTTAAAGCAAGCAACCAAAGTTTATCCAATCCATCTTTGTTCTCGAAACATCTATGTGCCTTTTATTGTTACTGCTTCAAGATGCCCATTTTCTTCTCTGCACATCAATGCCAATGTTTGTTTTTTAATATCCAAATCCCTTCAAAAATAATCACCAAAGTTAGGCTTAGCTCTCACAGTCCATTTTGCTACCAAGTTGCAATGTGCTTTCTAAAGTCATATATAGGACATGTCTCTCACTTAATTTAACACAATTTTCTACTATTTATTAGCAATATATAATATTGTTGGTATCAACAATATATAATATTGTTGATATCAGTTTTGGAGGCTGAAAGTCTGAGGTCATGGTTGGCTGGAGGGTTTCATTTCCAGTGTGCAGCTTACAGATTCTGATCTTCTCTCCCGCTCTTCAGCTTCCAGTCTGTGTGTCTTCATCTCCACTTATAATCAAGTAGTTGCATTGGATGGCAGTCCATGTACAACCCCATCTGCCTTTACTGTGTCTTGAGAGGCCCAGTTCCATGTGTAATCCAGTTCTGTGGTTCTGAGCTAAATACTTAACGTTTGAATTAATGGGAACTATGAACACAGTTGATCCTCTAATAATTAGTAATCCCATTTCCTTGCTCTCTCATGAGTCTTACCTCTGCTTCACTGAGAGTTAGAACAACGTTTTGATAAATGTATGCTATGTTCTCTGCTCCACCCAAACCCCACCCCCTCAAAAAATCTTTAAATCACTAGTGTTTGGAGAGTGCCTGTAGCCTGTGATTCCCCTTAAAGATTGTCATTTGATAATGATTCTATTGGAATCAAGTTTAGACTTACACATATACTTCCAGTGAGCATGGAATGTTCCTGTTCTTATTATCTACATGCCAAAATGGTATAAGTGATGTCATTCAAGCAAATTGTATCAAAAAGAGGATTGGATGAGAGACAGAAACGCAAAACCTTTGTCAATGCTTAGCTGGTGACCTGAGGCAAGTTGTTTACAAATCTGGAGCTTTGGCATCCATATCTATATCATGGAAGAGAGGGATACATATTCAACTTTGACAGCTGTTAATCCTTTACCATTTCCTGGGTAACCATTGGTCAGTCCCTGGGGAGGACCCTTTAGCTGCTTCTGCTTGACTTATACCTTTGCTGTGCACCTGGTGCTGCTGATGACCCTGCTGTGCACCTCATGGTGCAGAACCTCTGTTACTCTTCTTCCACTGACTATCTTCGGAGCTCCAACTATGGTGGCCCATTAAACCCTGCTTATGGTATTCAATAGCTTTCCTAGCCCAGGACCAGCTTCTGCTCTAGTTACTTTCCTATTGCTGTGATAAGATGCATGACCAAGGCAACTTATAAAAGAAAGCACTGAAGTTGTGGTTCTTGGTTCCAGAGGGTTATAGTGCATGGCCATTAAGGTGGGAATCATGTCAGTAGGCAGGCATGATAGCGAATCAGTAGCTGAGAAGTCTTTTGTTGATGATAAACCATAAGTTATAGAAAGCTAAATGGGGATGGCATAGGCTTTTGAAACCTCAAAGTTTTTCCCCAGGGACTCACCTCCTCCAAGAAAGTCACACTTCTTAACCCTACTCAAAGAATTTCATCAGCTGGGACCAAGTATTTAAATGTATAAAGCTATGGGGGTCATTCTCATTCAAACTGCCAGAAAGGTTTGGGAATGTTTAAGGCTTTGGAGTTAGATTCAATTTCCTCTATTTTATGTTTGGTTTCTCATGTTCAAATGGTACAGTTGAACTTAAATGTTACTAAGATAATAGATAATGGCTATCACATACTTACATGGTTTTTAAATATCATGTATATAATTGAGGGATATCCAAGGTGTTCGTTGTATAGGAGACCTAGTATAGAAATGTAGGGTGGGGTGTAGTAGAGACGCAGCTTGACGAAGGTGTGGCTCAGGCTGGGCGAACAATACTGCACACTTTCACCTTCACTGCAAGATGCTTTCTGTACCTGTTTCTGCCTTCATCATTGCTGGTAGGTGTGTACAACAATATTGAAAACTATGCCATAGTTTTTTTTATGACCTGTTTAGTTTGTTTTTTCTATGAATTCTCTTATTTTCCTGGCACAGGGGACACTGGGTGGATGTTTTGGATCACATACTGTCTCTATTTCCCCCTTTCAAATCTTGATCTTCTAAAAAAAAAGATTCCAAACCTTACTGGTCAGAACCTGGAAACTGTTCTGTTTCAAAGGTTGATTGCACCCTTAAACACGCCGTCCTTCCCTTTGCCTTAATAGTAATACTAGTGCCGACGAGAGTATTTGAAAAGAACACTTTAAAATACATGTTTGAGGTCATGGATCGAGTATAAATATTTTAGTACATTAGTAGCAGTTGCCTCTGTTTGCTTTTTAGTGCATAGTATTAATTAGTGTGAGAAATATTTCCGCGAGTCACTTAAGAGGCACGTGAATTCACACGTGTAAAGAAGTCCCCGCTATGTGCCATCAAATGCAGACAGGCCTCCGTGCTCTGGGCATGTTTTGTCTTTTCAGGAACACTACATATTGCTGCAAGGTTGCCTTTCCGCTGGAAGTCGTTCAGAAGGACAGCTGCTTCAATTCCCCCATGAGACTCCCGGTGCATAAACTGTACATCGAGCACAGTATTCATAACATCACGTGTCCAAATGTAGATGGTTACTTTCCTCCCAGTGTCAAACCAGCCGTCACTTGGTATAAGGTAAGGAAACTAGAGCATGTAATTTTTTTTTAAATAGCAATAAATACCTGAGTTGAATGGTAACACCGATTCTTTGCTATTCAGATCTTTGATTTCTTCATTAATATCTTTGTACACACTTCTGCCCCTTTCTTATTTTGTTCTGTTTTAGGAGGAGAGGTGTGGTTTTCTTCTCCTCAGCCCACTGTTTCCCACACGTTGTTCTCTGGAGTCCCAGAACTAACTACCTGATTTCTGTTAACTCCCAGGAACACATTTTAAGAAATGCTGCCCGCTTCCTCTCACTGCTTTGGGAGGTCAGATGCTGCTGATTCATGACGTGAATCTCAGCCCCTTGATGAGTCAAGACTGTCATTTTTTATTCATGTGCGTTTTGTGGATTGCCCTCATTTGTGGGCACCATTCGTCTTTGGTGTCCACATCTGAGGATCTGGAAAAATGTTTTATCAACATATGTGAATATTGGAAGGTGGCACGTGTGGCGACACCAGAGTGTAGCCTTTGAATCTCGTGGAGTATCCACTGGCAACAACGTGACGAACACAGTCTACAGCAAAACTCCTTAGGAGCTGAGCAGTGGGAGAAATTTCACTCCCTGAGACAAGTCACAAAAGTCCTCCGGCAAGAAGTTCTGATGAGGCTGGGGCTGTTCTACTGTTGTGCTTCTCAGAAATGCTAGCCAGAGCAAGGAGGAGCTGTCGGACTAGGGAGACATTTGCCTACAATGTCTGATGCCTTGCAGTTTGATGCCCTGCTTACAGGAAAAGAAAAAGGCCAGCAAGATTTGATCAGTATAAAGAAAGAAAGAAAATGGCCTTGCTGGACACAGAGGAAGGGAAGAGTGGGAATATCTCAGGACTGAGGCTGGACCTGGAGGAAGGAAAAAATGTGAACATCTCAGGACTGAGGATAGACATGAAGGAAGGGAAGGATAGAACATTTCAGAACTGAGGCATTTTGAAGAATCTCTGTTCATATGAAGATACAATCATATTCTAAAGCCCAGAAAAGGTTCTTTTTAGATGAAAGTGAGCAATAAAAAATTAAGTCCCATTTATGTTTCAAGAAAAGGGTGCATAAAATAATATTTCTGCGCAAAAAAAGTATATCAGAAAGCTATATTATTAATGACTGTTTAAAAACGGGCCTACATCAGGAAAATGATATGATACATAAATAAATAGGTGCAGAAATAGAATTTAGTTGTCTGAAGCTTACATAAATATTAAAAACTTAATGTGCAGAAATTATTTCACACATGAAACCGAAGAAAGATGGAAAATAGCATTAAATCCAAGCATGTACATATACACACATGCACAAACACACAAACATGCATGTGTACACAGAAATATATACATGCACACACAGACATGTATATAAATAAGTACACATGCACATATACACATACATATGTGTGCACATACACTCATGCACACGTTGCACATACCAAAGTACCTGTGTACATACATATGTGCACATATGTACAAATAGAAGTACGCACAACCATATATTCACACACATGCACACATGTATACCCATTCCTATGCTCACACAGTGCACAGAAACTGCTGAAGATTGGTATGAAGTAAAGAGAAAATTTAAAAGTAAAAAGATAACCATAATCGAAGGTGAGAGTGGCAACACAAATATATAATAAAGGAGATTTTTAAGACAGCGAGTGTTACCAGAGAGAAGACGGACATTTCACAATAGTCTCAAGATCATTTCATTGGGAAGCCACGAAACAACAGAAGTATCTCTGACTTACAAAAGTGTTTCAAAATACATGAAGTTCTTAGAAATTGCCAGAACTTGAGGGGGAAATAGACAAATTCACAAGTGCAGTTCAGCAGTTTAAATTGTCTTTCTTGGTCAATTGCTACTGAAATGACTTAGTAGTCAGTTTTTTTTAACTGTACCAGTATTCTGTTAAAAAAAATTTGCAATGCATTTTGTATTTTTTTATGAAATTAATTTATTTTTAAATTGTAAAAGGAATGGCGGGCTGCTTTCCCACCACCCAGATCCCAGCTAGCTTACACCCGAAATAATTACACGGAAACTGTATTCATTTAAACACTGCCTGGCCCATTATCTATAGCATCTTATTGGCTAACTCTCACATCTTGTTTTAACCCATATTTAGTAACCTGTGTAGCACCATGAGGTGGTGGCTTACCGGGAAATATTCAGCATGTCTGACCTGGGGACTTGCTGCATGGCGTCTGCCTCACTGCCTTCTTCCTCCCAGCATTCTGTTCTGTCTACTCCACCTATCTAAGCTGCTGTCCTATCAAAAGCCAAGGCAGTTTCTTTATTAACCAATGAAAGCAACACATAGACAATTAGCCCTCCTCCATCATTAAATGATCTTTTCTCATGCCTTCTGTGGGCCAGAAATGGACAATCTGAAATTTACTAATGGTAAAACATTCAGTGGTTTCAGTCCACCAGAGTATGTAATGAGAATTTTGAAACTTAACTAGTTATATGGGAAATCAATGTGTGATCGTGAAAACTAGGAAACACAGAGAAATAAGAATTATTCTCTTTCTGAAAGTAATAGCATGCCATGGGCTAACATACCAGAGACACAGAGAGCACAGGAAAACCTGGAGCTACTACATCATGAGTCTAAAATCAGCAAAGTGAAAACCAGATATGCATGGTTCTCCTGATATAAAAGGGAAAAGTACCAAATTAAGGAAATATGGAACAATTTTTTTTAAGAAAGAGAATGAACCCACATACCTAACAATGGACCTACACATACATGGGTATCTACTCGGATGAGAAAAGAGTGAAGGAGGTTTGATTGACAAGGATTGTGTGGAAGGCCTGAAATGGTGATTCTCAGTATTCCTGGTATTGCTAGTGTTTACAAAAACAATATACGTTGTAATAACTCAATAGTTAATTCACACAATCATACTGGTTTCTGCATATATTTTGCTGTGTGCTAAAATAAGTACAAATGAAAAAGATATGGAGGGATTGAGTATGGGAGACAAGAGAGAATAAGGAAGGGGAGGAGAGTGGGAAGGGAAGTAAGTGAGCAGGAGAGACAGAGAGATTGAAGATACGATAACCATCTGCAATGTATGGGCCAAAGTTGGAGTCTGTTTCACAAAACACAATAGAAAACCGGAATATTCTGAGTGTGGAACACAGATAATAGCAATAAATTGTTACTTTTAAGTGGGACAGTGGGGCCTCAGTTATATTGTAGATGGGGTTTAGTTTAGAGATACACACGGAAGTATTTACAGATGACAGTATTAATATTAGTATTAGCATTAGCATTAGTATTAGTGAGGTGATATTAACAGATTCACGCCGAAAAGCAAAACCTTACTGTGAGAAGCCTCCTTGTCCACCGGCATGACAGTTTCTCAATTCTATGTGTTCCTATACACATTCTATTTTTCTTTTCATATTCCCCATGCATGGCCTCTGCCTAGGATTCTCTCTCAGAACAAGACAGATTCCACTCCTATCATGGATTGCTCCCCGGGTCATGCCTGTAGACCATTACCTATGTGATGCCCTTTTTAAGGTGACTTTCTACTCCACTCACTGCTGGAGTCTTCTGTTCACATGCGAATACACTGGCTAAAGATAAACAGCTTCCTCATACTAGACACAGAGTGGGGTTTAGCATGATAAATGAGATGTATGCCCAGCTCAGTGAAATCTCAATAGGAACAAACAATTCAACATAGGTACCATGTAGGCATGTGGTACATATGCACACATGCAGGCAAATACTCACTCATGTAAAACAACATTGAATAAATCTTTTTTTTTAAAAAAAGTGTAATGTTAAGTCATACAAAGTAGTAGAGATAAATTGTTCTGGTTTTCATAAGAAAATTTGATGTACTGTGAGAGCAGTTGACTCTTGCATATTTCATATCAAATTATTCCAATTTTTGAATTTCCTATCTCCATGAATGGTGATGCTAATAATCAAGATAAGAGAAATGGAGGATTCTCTGGAGTAAGTTATGAACTCAGAAAATATCATATAAATCCAGAGATGTCTAAGACATCAGGGTAGCAGGTAGATAGACAAGCAGAGAGTGTTTGCTATCTTGTGTCAGCGTCTGAAACTAAACAGTCACATTGTACATAGAGAAATGGACACGTCTCTGTGATAGTTGAAGCATCCAGAAATTGAAATACAGTGAGAAGAGTCACTGGGAGGTGGTGATGCATGCCTTTAATCTCAGCACCCAAGAGGTAGAGGCAGGTTGATCTCTCAGAGTTTGAGGCCAGCCTGGTCTACAAAGCAAATTCCAGGACAGCCAGGGTTGTTACACAGAGAAACTGAAAGGGAGAGAGAGAAAGAGGGGGGGGGGGAGAAAAAGTGGGTAAGTCTGTCTTTAGAGAGTCAGCACAGTGATTGAACACACAAAATCTAGATAAGAGATTGAGAAAATAATCACTTCTATGTAACTATTGCTGATGCAGCCTCCTCACAGTTTACAGATGACTCAGTGGGTAAAACATTTGCTGCATAACATGGAAACTTGAGTTTGGATCCCCAAAACCCACATAAAGTGTCAGTTGTGGTGAGCACATCTGTAACCACATCAAGACTGGCAGGTTCTGCAGTCTCAGAGATTTACTAGTCTAAGTGAAATGGGGGGCTGTACCTCAAAGCAAACCTGTCTGAACAAGTGAGGAGAGAGTGGCGCACAGACAAGTGCACACTCAGACACATATAGCCTGTGTATATACACACACAAGCATATACACATATATGTACACAATATACATATATATTAACACACACATACATGTCCACACATGAACACATATACAAATAAACCCACATATATGCAAGTACACAAATATACACACATGTGAAAGCACACACACACATACACACACACCCGGTGAAAACTACCTGTTTTAAAGGAGAAGAGACAATGAGAACGCAGCCACTCCTTCTATCTTCTGGTTATTTTGAAACTGCTAATGTGAGTTGCATT